ATGGCCGCTCATACCTTCTCAAATCAAAGTTTGATCAAATTAGACTGTCAACAGTGGTAAGGAGTTGCACCGCTATTTAACCTTTGCTGTTGGCAAGTAACATTTATTTCTACAATCAAATAGTTTTTCTCTATGTATATATACTCAGAACTCCCAGCAACAGCCAGGTATTTACTGTAGACAAGTTAAAGTGTTAATAAAGTCAAAAGGTTTTTAGGCTATTTCAAATGCTGGTTAAATCACTGATAATTGACATTATGGTGATCACATGACATCACAGACAAACCAACCATGTCAAGTGCACAGAGAGGGGCACAGTGACAGCTGCAGGCAGTAGGCTGCAGCTTTCAATTAGCTTGCAATAGAAAAAATAATAATTTCAAAAGTGTGTAAAAAGTTGATATAACTTAAGCTGAAAAATATAGCACGTCTGATTACAATAAAAAGTAGGGGTGCACCGTTTTTTTTGGTATTGAGTATGAATACCGATATTTATCATTTGTTACTTGCCAATTACAGGTACTTCCTCTAGCATGGAGCTGGCTTCCCGAACAACCAGGAAGCCGTACGGTGTGTCATTACCCGCCACCTGACTTTTTGATTGCACGGGAAGCCGGCTCCATGCTGTTTGGCCAGGAGTTTCATCATCGAGCCGGCTTTGTGGCCAATCAGGAAGCCAGGCGGCGGGTCATTACCTGCCGCCCGACTTAATGATTAGCCAAGATGCAAGCTCCATACTGATCGGCTGGGAAGCCAGTTTCCCGGCCAATCAGCATGCAGACGGCTTCCCGACCACTCAGGAAGCCGGGCGACGAGTCATTACCCACCACCCAGCTCCCTGGTTGGCTGGGGAGTTGGCTCCATGTTTTTTAGTGGCACTGCCGGTAAGAGGAAATCTCCCTTTGACCAGAAGTTCCGGTATCGGGGGTAAGTATTGGAGCAGTTGGCCGAGTACGAGTACTCACCCAAATACTAGTATCGGTGCATCCCTAATAAAAAAGAAAAAAAAACATGAGTAGGGAATTCATAAAATCAGCGTAGCAAATAAAAGTATATGTTTATTGCTAAAAATAGGCTAAGGACCACCCACAGTCAGCAGCGGTGGAAGAGGAAGGATCTGTAACATTAGAATTAAGGGTATGTCTTTTAGATTGTAAGCTCCTTACCATCTTGTCTTAAATTGTATTGTGACTGTAATGTCTTCCTTATATTGTAAAGCGCTGCGCAAACTGTTGGCGCTATATAAATCCTGTATAATAATAATAGTATGTATAAAACAATTTTTACAAAATGACAGGGTGGGGTGGGCTTCATGGAAGGAAAGAGGATGGAATGTGGAGGGGTAAAAGATTAGATGAAGTTCTGCTTAAAAAAAAAAAAATAGCTGGGTTAGGGAAGTTGGAAAAATTTAGAACCTCCGTTAGGTTCTAATGTTTCTATCCGCTTCTCAAAGGCGTTTCTCCTCACTTCCTGCATTGAATGCATCAAAATGCAAGTCTTTTTATCAGCTTCTAGACCGGGACCACCAAAGATTCGACATGATTCCCTGTATTTTTCTGGGAACCCGATCCAATGCAGCCTTTTAATCAGAGACAGATAAAATTCAGTTATGTGCCCCCCCTTACCATATTGTCTTGAATTGTGTTGTAATGTCTTCCTTATAGTGTAAACCGCTGTGCAAACAGTTGGCAATATATAATCCTGAATAATAATAATGTCAATTACTTTGTGTCACTGTAAATTGGTTGTATTCTACGTTTTGAAAGGTTCTCAACAGGTTTTTCCCAAAAACATTTTTCAGATGAATTTAAAAAAAAAAAAAAAAAAGTAAGCTGCCCCCTAAAATCTCGCCATTACCTGATTTCTAGGTCTTTCTATAAACTTGGGCCTGGGAAGAGCTCCCGGTAGCAGCAGCTCGTTAACCCCCGATGGCCATTAGTCGACAAGATGAAATGATAATAATAGCAGGTGCCTAAGTCACTTCATAGTAAGCGTGCCAGCAATGAGGGAGGCAGGTAAAATCCTATTAAACACAGAAAGCAATACGCCTGCTAAGTAATGTAACAAAACTGCACAAATAAAAATCTCCTAACAGCAGGAACACCTTGGCAAGCATAGATCACACTTCTGGGTGACAGCTGTACAAGCTACGTCTTCCGACTACGATACCCCAAGAGTGGGGAAAACCCAAATCTCTGAATTAATGCCAATGATGTGCATTTATACCGGCACTGCTTTGTTACACTGCTCCAGATGCAAACTGTGCATACAGCTATGTGGAATATGAGCAGAGAGGATCTGCTGGTCTTACTGTATTCTGGGCTTGGAACCAAAAAAGCGCACAGGGGTTGTACCTGGTAAACTGGTTATTACGGCCATTAGGGTATAAGCTGGCTTCTATCCAAATGAACTGCAGTGATAGCATCATTATAACACAGCGCAGGCTTGTCTGTATTGAACATGTAAATCTTCCTTGTTGTGTTGTCAATATAACAATGAAGTTCTGCTGGATTTAAAGACTAATGCATCAGAGTTTTTGTGCATATGTTTCCAGGCACATATAAAAAGGGACATGTCACCTAGCCTTTGACCCCTCTTATACTCTCCTTTCCAGCTCTTTGCTCCTCTGCCGGTGGTGTTGCGTCAGCGACCCAGGGGAGCAGTGATGTCACTTCCCCACTCATGTGTCACATTTCTCGGGCCTAGTGATTGGCTGCCAGGCCTAGGCACCACCAAAAAGGAACACGTCACATACTCCTCCATACCTGGAGGTGCCAGATATTCTCATTGGTTGCAGGGAAGCAAGGAGTTGCGAGGGAGTGCAGCTAAGTTGAGTACATCGGTGTCAGGAGTGGCCCTTTGCAAAGACACAGTTACTTTGCCCTGCATGGGTAAGGTGGCCATGTCTCTTTAAATACATTCCAGCATTAGGTAAGCACACACTATCAACATGCCAAAGACTAAATTATAAGATACAATTTCATTTACTTTTTGCATTTGCTCAACATTTTTTGCTGGAAAAGTAGGCAGTGCCATTTTTGCCCCATGGTCGTCATGCCCTAATAGATATTCATTTGTCAGTCTTTAACCTCACAAACACAGCCAGCCAGATCAGATTTACACTGAACTCCAGGCAGATATAAAAGGCACAAATTAAAGCAGCTCTGCTTTCATTAATACAACTTTAAAGTAGGGCTGGTAATGATTAAACTTTTCGTGTTCGATTAATAGAAAAAAAATGTAATCGATTAATTTCGACTCATTATAACGCACATACAGATCCAACTACATTGGCCTATAAATAAAGAAAATATACTCTGACCCTCTGTCCTGCGTGGCTGCTAGACTGGTCCCCACGACAGCCTCTTCTCCCCTGGGCTTTGGAGCTCTAAGGATCCGTGATGTAATCACATCTACCGCAAGTGCATTAGATGTGAGGACGCTAAGGGACATTCCACCGCCGGAGCAGAAGAAAAGATACTGTCACAGGACCAAGGATCAGTGAGTACATCATCTTTATTCCGTCCCCTAAAGAAAAATGAGCAGTAACCGTTGCAGTGTGGGGCCGGATAGACAAATACAAATCCTTTAGCATGAAAAGCAGCTCTCACCTATGTTTTTCATTTGAGTATTTAGCTGCTTGCCTGGAGTTCAGCTTTAAGGCCTCATTCACACACGAATCGGCCTGCACATACAGCTCCGTGCGGGGCCGTACCAAGTAGCTGCCGGGAAGGACAGGTGCTGCGTGTGATTAGAACGCAGCCCCCATCCTTCTCTATGGGGCTACCCGGCCGTACGCCCCCCTACGCTCACCTCATGTGCAGGTCCGTAGGGGTGCGGGTGATCGTATTCATACGCCGCGGGAATGGAACATGTATGCGTCCTGGCCAGAAAACCTGCACCCCTACGGACCTGCAAATGAGGTGAGCGTAGGGGGGCGTACGGCCGCGTAGCAACATAGAGAAGGACGGGGGCTGCGTTCTAATCACATGCAGCACCTGTCCTTCCCGGCAGCTACTTGGTACGGCCCCGCACGGAGCTGTACGTACAGGCCGATTCGTGTGTGAATGGGGCCATAAAGAAAAGTTGTCACAAGAGAAATAAAGAGGTCATCACTGCTGACATTTTTATTAAAACTGCTACTTAAAGCTTACAATAAATACATATTTGATGTGTTAAAATGAAGCATTCCATTAAAGGAGAACTATGGGGTCAGGGCTTTTCCCCATAGTTCTCCTTAGGGTAACGGGAGGGCACAAACTAGCGTCCTCCTAGGCTCAGTATACCGCGAGCTACAGCTCGCGGTATACTGAGACGCCGCAGCGGATCCCGACATCGATGTCGAGATCCGCCCAGCTGCGTGAGTGACAGCTGGCTCTGCCTATCTAGAGGCAGAGCCAGCTGTACCCGCCCCCTCCCCCGTCCGATCCGCCAGTCAGCGCTGGCGGATCGGAGCAGGGAGGGGGGAATCCAGCCACTCCTTTGTCACGGAGGAGAGCCGTGACAGGATCGAGAAGTGAGCAAAACCGGCATGTGTTCGCTCACCTCCTGATCTACTGAGCCGACCTGTGACAGTCTCATTGTCACAGGTCGGCTAGAACTATGAGGTGAGTGAAAAGCACTCATCTCATAGTTCTTCTTTAATGCACAGCTACACTTCTGAAAACACAAACTAAGAGAAACATGAAACTTTTGATGAAAAGCCGCCATGAACAAACACAGCCCTATTACAAGGCAACAATACAAGGGTCTGCGCTGATGGCCTTTTGTTCCCACCAGAACTCCTTCTCTCCTCATTAAAGTCAATGTGAACACCAAAGCAGATTGAAGGAAGTCCGATACAGAAAGAGATCAACCGCAGGTCAAATACACCTGTCAATGAATTCTGAATGATCTCTTAAGCGTCTCCAACTGATGTCAGATTCAAGCGGAATGCACCTGAAAGCAAGCTGCCTTTGGCCATTTACACATGTCCTGAAGGTGTTCTATGAGCGACTTACCTGAAAGAAGACGGACATTGCTGCAATCAGTCTCTTATCCAAAATGGCTGCACCAAAACTGTCAAAGTCATCGGGATTGTAGGAGAAGATCTGCATCTGTTAATAAAAAGAAAGATTTGGGTTAAATAGGCGTTTACAAAAAAATAGCATTATTCACATACAACCAAAACAAAGAAAGGGTATTTTTTTTTTCTTACCCGAGGAACACCAACAGGTCAAGTTAAAATGGATAGTGAATATCGCTAACTGCTGGACACTGCAATGTGGCTTCACACTGTGGCCTGCATTTAATGTTCTATTGAACTAAATGCAGGCACCATGTAAAGTCTGTGGTGTGTCCCAAGGAGTTCTCGCTGGTTAAGGCTGTAGAGCAGGGGTAGGCAAGCTGCAACCCTCTAGTTGTGGTACAACTACAAAACCCATTAGGCATTGCAAGACGGACCACCACAGGCATGATTCCTCGAAGCAAACGAATTATGGGATTTGTAATTTCATCATGGCTGGATGGCCTGTGTTTGTCCACCGCTGCTGTAAAGAGAAGTCAGTGATTGGAGTCAGGTCCTGTGACTGGGTTGTCCGCCTTCCAATTTTTTTCTTTCATTCATTCATTTAAATGGCGCTTGGTTTGCTTCAATGTCCCGACAAACCCAAAGCAAGTGGACTGCCAAATCACCAATGTAACCACCTTATCATAAAAGGTCCTGGCCTCCTCACCTTTTAGTAGCAGTATAGATGTGCCTCATACCTTTAATTGTCTGCATACCTTTTTTGTTTTATAAACACCCTAATAATTATGTTTCTCTCAATGAGAATGCTGCTACTTGCTCTCACACTGCAGTGATCTGTGCTGGCATAGCTGAGTACCAGTCACACCCCTTAGCATATGTTTCCTCATGCAAACTTTTATTGCAGAGAAGGGAATAGAGCATGGCAGGACAGTTCTTGTACTGAAAGTTGATCCAAGAGTACACTAGGTCTACCTTTGTTACTTATTGGATTGCGCCGTCATATTTATACTCCTTGCACAGCTGCTTTAATAGAAAGCTGGATAAAAAGAGGGGTTGTTAGTGCAATGCCTACCTGACTGCATACCCAGCTCTGTGACTCTAATTAGGCTTTAGGCTATACTAGAACTGTGGGGTAAAGATATCTCAGCTTATAATGGCGAAGTAGTAATCTGTCAAAGTGGAAGCAGCTCCAACCACTTTATAACAAGCCGAGGGATGGGGTGCGTAGGTGTTGACATTCACAGCAACCCAGCTATAAACAGAATCACTTTTTCAAGATTGGATGATTTCATCAGAGAAGCACAAAGTATCTGAAACCTCAGACTTCAGGTTGTCCATCCACGGCTGATTAACTATTTTAAACAACTTTGTGGACCCGACCCTAATGGGATTTTTCCTGCCTAAGACCACAATTGTGTATCACGCTGGACATGTGCCAGACTATGATTTTTGCATTGGCTGTTGAGGTGGCCAAACTAATAGTAGAGTAAAATCCGGTACCCTGCACCACCAGACAGGCCGGTGTGTGTGGCAGAGCTGTGTAAATCTCAGGATTGTGTTTGCCCGAAGTTCAGCTTTAAAATCGAAGTTCCCTTGGGGTAGGGATTGAAGTGAATATCTCCTGGTACTCTGAAGCGCTACAGAATATGTAATTGCCATAGAAATATGGGAAACAACAACAAAATATATTAAAACAATCCAACAATCTCAGATGGCAAAAAATATTTGAACTGCTTAATGCATTTTGATTTATCAAAGTCAAAGAGCGTAGAGTACAAATCCAACAGTTCAATATACAAGTGCGCATAATTTGTCACACTTAAAAGGACATAATTTATTAACAAAAATGAGGTGCCTGACAGCATTGGAGGCACAGCCAACTATTTACTTTGCAGAAAAAAAGAGATATATCATTGCCGCTTAGTGATTCCATTTTACTTAATGCAGTCTGGCGCTTGGAAGTCTTTTATTTACAACTTTATAAAGTAATTCATTTCAATAACACCTTCCAACATTAAGAACAACACTGTTGTTAGAGTGGTGGACGTGACCACTTACGTCAAAATCAGATCAAGGTCAGTCTGAGATAGGACGTGAATGTCACTGATGGCACTTAGTCAATACAGAATGGGCTTTAATTACCTTTTAAAAAGCGAACAAACATTTGAAAATATAGTTTGGAGCAAAAGGGTCCCAGATGCAATCATCATGAAAAAAATAACTATGTTCTAGTTCTAGCTAAAATGTCATGCAACAGCCTTAATATTTATGTTGGAAGGAAGGGAGCATAAATTATATGGTGTTCCATCATCATATGAATTTTATTTTGTTCTCCGGGATAGTGCCACACCTCAGAATGTCATCATTCAGCTGGTCCAATCCAGGAAAAGAAATACTCAGCCATCACTCACCCTATCCTAATAGTGGGGTGGACAAAGTCTGTGAAGGGGTCAACAATTTGCATATTAACGGCCACCACACCCCAAAAGATATAGGCATCAGGTTTAATTTTGAAAGCTTTTCAGCTGTGGAACAGGAAATGGGCTCTAGTAACCAATTCTGTAAAGCTAAACCTTACACACTGTAACTTAAGGGAAGGCATAGTGTAAAGGGAAGGCATAGTGTTATGGCAGATAGAACTTTGAAACATGTCACATTCACTACTTGCAGCCAGTAGGTGGTGGGTGCACGGCAACATCAACACCTTTTTGGAGACTCCAATAACAGCACCTTGTGTTGTGAACTAGACCTGTATATCAGGGAGTTAACATCACACATACTGTAGAATGATGCACAGAGGAGGGACGGACATAATCTTCAGAACATTGTTAAAGAGACAATGTCACCTAGCCCTTTCAGGGCACAGCGTCAAAGTCTGTGCAAAGACCCACGACCCCCAGATGCTTACCGCCAGTGTGCCACTGAAACTCCTGCCTTGTCGAAGTTGGCACTAAAATCTCTAGCCTCAGCTTGTGTTGGACATAAAAGTGATGCCACTTCTTCGCTCATAAAACAACGCACAAGCCTATTGATTGGCTGCCACATCCGAGCACTATCACATGCTCCCATATACCAAGAAGCACGATTCACATTAAGTCTTATGCTTTTAAACTGAGAAAGTACACTCAGTAAATTAGGGATGCACCAACACCTATACTCTTACTCGCCTAAATGCTTTGATACTTATCCCACTACCGGAACTTCCAGTCAGAGGGAAATTTCTGCAGTGCTGTAAAGGGAACATGGAGCCGGTTTCCTGGCCAATCAGGAAGCCAGGCCACGGGTAATGACTCGGCTCCATGCTACTGGAAGTACCGATACTCTGTATCGGCAGGTACCGAAATATAAATACCTGTACTCAACTAAAAAACAATATCCGTGCACTGTAAATGTCTAATTGTAGTGTTATGCAGATAACTATAACAATGATCTGAAACATCAATTTAAAAACACTTAAACCTTCATAGAATGTAAAATAAAAATGCTCAGAAATCATTATTATACATTTTCTAACAAAGACAGGGCTTTATTTTTGGAAACATCACAAAGGCCCCATTTGTAATCAACCCACATGCATAGTTTCACCTTCATGGAGACCCTCTGAAGAACGGACAGCGAGGGGAATATGAGAACATTATAGAGGTTGAGGCATGTTTTACACAGTATTATTACCCTGCTCTGTGTCTATTACTGTATGAAAATAGCCAGCTGACCGCTAAGGCTTACAATATAGGAGCTAAGAAATTGCTTTGTTCTGGGGCTAATAGCCATATGATTTAGCATGAAATGAAGTCTGGAAAATCATTTTGGATAAATGGAAGTATAAATTTAATAGAATTTCCAAGACAACACGAATTGCTACACTCTAACATAAACAGCACATTCTAAATCACACCAAACAAACAGCAATATGGAGCTGGGTGCGCTGCTATAATAAAGCGCCAGCCGATAATTTCACTCATTCCTAAGTCTACTGTTCCCCATTTATTAGTCTTCTATTTAAAGATGGTAACTCATTGTCAGGCTGTTAGTAGCGTAATAAACATAAGAAGCATTAAACAAAGACCGCATATTATATGAACTCGGTTTCTGGCTCCGTGATTAGCTGGTAATGCTGTCAAGGATGAAGATTGAAGAAATAAAATAGATATAGAACATAAACTTTAATAAAAGAACACAAATAAATCTGTAACATTATATCAAGAAAATAAAAATACAGAAGGTTCTCATTTATCCAGGTCATGTAATAGCCACCTTTAGATGGACTTGTTTGTAATGTTAAAGAGATTTTGCTGCTTATCCAAACAACTTCCTTAGCTTTATTACATCTGCCTAGACACCTTCCATTGCGATTAGATAAAGGTGAATGAGGTACCCATGTGACTATCAATGCTGGGTTATGTTCCCAACACTCAAAGCTAAAGGTGGCCATACACTTTACAACCATCGCAAGACCTTAGTCTTGCGATGTGCGGTCCTAACTCCCTTGTGTGTCTCTGTACCTTTAAGGAGGTGGGGCGTCCTCCTGACAGGCCTGCACCCAATTTGATATCTTCTGCCCCCATGTGCTCCAAGATGGAGACTCTCATAGTTTAGAGTTAGGACCGCACTATAAGAGGTGCCTTGGCGCGGCAGTGCGGCTTACACATCCTTTGCAGAAGACGTGTATCCAAACCTCTGTCATTGTCCTTAGTGGTGAGACAAGTTGTTTTACATGCTGGTTTGTGAGTGTGCCATGATGCCTTTCTACCGTACAGTAGAAACGGTTGCACGCCTTCCATACACCGTACGATTCTCGTACGATCGCGGGATTTCCCGCGATTCTCGTACGAGAATCGTACAGTGTATGGGCACCTTAAGGAAGATCTTTTGACGTGCAAAAAAATGTCTTCAAAATCACAGAACAAGTCCAGCTGAACGTGGCTACTACCAATTAAGCAAATCAAGACCGAAGCTATACTGAAAGCACCATAAAATGCTTATACCTACCTTCAGGATCGGTTCACACCTAGGCGATTGAGCTGGTGAGCTGTTTTTGCACAGTTGTTGCACCTTTTTGTATGCACGATTTTGCTTTGGAAACCGCAT